TGTTCGTAAATTTGTCAAAATCCTAAAATTAAAGTCCTAAAGTGGCCTTACCTTTTGACTTTTTGATCTAGCCATAATGCAACTGCTGTGTTTGTCAATAACAGAAAGGCCATATTTTAAAGAGACAATACTCTTTTCTTCAGACGGTTTTATCAAGGCAAAGGTATGAAATGCATTGAAAGAGAATGAGATATAGGGACAGAATCTGGGCCGCAGGTGCTGTATGCAGAAATGTGGTGTGTGCTTGTGTGAATGGTTGCACAGAGGTATTGAAAAGACTGTTTTCTTACCCGATGTGGTGCTGTGAGCTCCATCACTCTGATCTTGTAATCAGCGGCATCCTTCTCAGACAGTAACGTCACCACATATCTGCCTGCTTCCTTTGACTCTCCTTCAGTAGTTGGCCAGTATGGCACACACTTATTCTGCAGAGGGCGCATGTAACAAAAAAAAGGAACTGTATATTTTTAGACCTTGAAATGTTACATTAACAGTCAAGAGATGTTCTACTAATAATAATACTAAATAGAAAAATAGAATTAAAAATAGAATTCATTATAAATTGGAAGAAGGTCAACAATTACTAACCCGTCCTTTTTCAACCTCCCTTGTTGTCATGACAATTACTCGTGACTCTTCTTGCCATACCATTTGCCAGAAATCGTTTACAGTTGTTAAGAGGCAGCCTTGACAAGCAATGTAAACTTTCTGGTCATTAATATCCATTAATTTGTTCTGTGAGCAAAGATATATAGAAAGAGTGGAGGAGAGAAAAGAGAGGGTTTAACGAAATAATTTGAGAGATTTATGATTATGTTGTGATTTAAGTTGTGGACGTACTATAACATAGTTGGCATTGATGTAATCAGAGCCGACAACATTGGGATCTGCGTTTTGCAAGGTAACCCTAGTTTCATCAACTGAAAAGAGAAGAAATTAGAATATTTATTATAAAAACTGTCTAAATCTATGCAACTTATCACTACTAAACTTATATTTCATTTATATATCTTTCAAAGAAATACTGCGGTGTGATCAGATTCATTGCTCACAGGGAAGGATGTTCTTATATCTGTTTTTGCTTTTGTTTTCTGGTCTCATTCCTTCATCTCTGTTCTTCGTTACCTTAGTTTCCAACTTCTGCAATGCCTGCAAGCAGAAAAACAGATTTATAGATCAGAAATAGCACAGATAGAACGAGAAATTAAGATAGAAAGTACAAATGACCACATCCTGTCTGTTGAGAGTAGCTCTGAACTGTTTAGATGTGGTCTAACCTTACTACGGTATGGACATACTAATTTTAGCAACAGTTGAACAAATTCTTTTTGCCAACCCATACTAATTGTTATAAGTACAAAAAAGTCATAAAAAATGCATGAATTGACTTTAATCAGAAGCTCATGTAAATGTAGATGTGAAAAAAACTGATAGCAATAAAACATATGCCTGCGACTTCATGTCTTTTTGTCTTTTATGTAATAAAACATGTGAAATAAAAAAAATGTAAAAACACAAAATTAAAAAAATTAATCTATATTTAATTTCCTAATTTCTTAAATAAATCCAAATAATT